TCATACAAACTCCCTGCTTCAATCACATGTATTACATGTTGTAAATGCATGGCAAGAAATTGAAAAATACCAATATAACCCTTGCATGAGTAGAAGAAAATCAAAAAATAGCTGAACCCAAACTCCTTTCTATATGGTATGAGGATAAGGATATTTATTGGAGTTTATGAATACATAAATAAGCTATACTTTTAACCTCATAGTAGGCCTAAGGAACTCAAGCACTTCTAGATTTTCTTAACTATTAAATTCCATTACTTGGGACCAACAAATACCAAACTAGTACATAAACATGGATTGTTAATTGGATGAGAACCCATCTCTCTTCTTCTTCTTTTTTTTAAAAAAAAAAATTGAACAAAGATGGATTTTCTCAAAGCAACCCTACCACAGTGTAAAGGTATTAGGCCAACTATTTAGGCTATGAAAAACCACAATTTAATACAAAATAAAAACTAGCATGAACAATGAGTTATACATAAGAATTAACGTGGTTCAAATTGATTACTAAACGTATGTCTACGGAAAGCAAACCCTTCTTATTATGAGAGAAAAATAATATAAGATTACAATTTGAATCTCAAACCCAAGCCTCTTATAACCCTCTTATTCACTAAAAATTCTATCATCCTTTTTTTGTGTCTTTGTAGAATGACAATCTACCAATTTTTAGAGAATGTTACTTGGCAGATAACCAAATAACAATAGGAAACAATTACTAATTCCTCAACTTACATAGAATAAGAAATAACTTTTAATTCCTAAACTTATGCAAAATAAGAAATAACTTGACAACTATTTCAAGTAACTAAATAATTAGGAAACTAGTTATTTTCACATGAAATAAGGAATCTACCTAAGAGAAATTAAACCAATTTCCTAACAATTTTTCATCTTGATGAATATTTCTTTTAGCAAATATAGCAAACTAGTCAAATAACTGATTTGCCTTTTACCATCAAATATCTTGGTGCCTTAGTACACACTCGTATCAATATGGTCTTGTGTTTAATTGATTCAACTGGCAAATGAATGGTGTAGCTAATTGAATCCAACATCTAGCTGACTCACAAGAAGGGTCTCAATCTACCCTCTTCTGTAGCAAGATTTTTCCTTTGACCACCATTTGCACTTTGAAAGCATTTTTGAATCCCTTTCCTTACACTATGCTTCTAGTCTATTGAGGTAACCAAATGGTACAAATTTCCATACTTCTTCCCCATCAATAAAACTGTCTCGCCATATTTGATTTTCAAGACTCCATTTGCAGCAAAAAATTAATAATTCTCAGAGTCTAACTGGATCAAAGAAAATAGATTTCTTCGTAACTTTAGGACATAAGCCACACTAGCCAAAGAATAATTTTCTCTATTCAATATTTTGATTTTCACCACTCCAACACGTTTGACATCACAAGTAGATCCATCAATCAAAGACATAAAACCTGCATTCTTTCTTTCGAGAATATCAAAATAGTTTAATTTAGAGCAAACATGTGACATACATCCAAAATCTAAAATTCAACTATCACGGGAAGAAGTATTATTACCTTTGGAAATTGTGAGAATGTCTCTACTTGATACATATCGAGCAACATTTTCATACTCATTCTCATCATTTTTTTTAATAAGGACAATATCTTCTAATATGGCCAAACTCATAACAATCTTAGCTCTGGACTCCACCTTTTTTGTTGACCTTTGAACCACCTACCTTAGATTCACTGCCAAATTTTTTTCCTCTTTTATTCTCACCTCAAGCAACTAATGTAGTTTTCTTGTGTCACATCTTGGTTTGCCTTTTTTTTTTTTTAATTTTTCATGATCCAACAAGTTGGCAGCATATTCTTGAATTCTAAAGTGTCCTTCCTATACAACAAGGTCATTATGGCACTAGTGTAAAAATTAGAGATTGAGGTAAGAAGTAAAAGGACCTTATCTTCTTTCTCAATTCCATGCCAAACTTTGGAGTTTATCCAAAATTCTATTAAACATATTCATGTGATTCATGAGACTGCCACCGTCCTCCATCTTTAGCCTGTAAAGTTGCCTTTTCAGATGCAATTTATTAGATAAACTCTTAGCTAGATAAAGCTTTTTTAATTTTCTAGAGGTCTATTGCTAAATCTTCCTCATCTATCACACTATTTTATGATGTTGTCTGCAACATCGAGTCGAATCGTGCTCACACACCTTGCATCTAACTATTCAAATTCATCAGTCTTCATACTTTTTAGCTTTTTGTTCTTACCATTCAATGCTTTTGACAAGTCCTATTAAATTGGAACATCTTTCACTTTTATTACCAAGGGTGAAACTTGTAGTTCTATTAAACGGTTGCATTGAAAATTATGTATTTCCAAATGCTATGGTATGCTCTCAATTACTCAATCTCAAAAAGTTAACCACAATACCAACGGAGCTCTGATGCACTTGAGGTATCAAACCAACTATTTGAGATATGCAAAATCTACAATTTAATAAAAAATAAAAGCTAGCACAAACAATGATTGTCATACAAGAATTAGTATGGTTCAGCTTAATCACCAAGTTTACATTTATGGAGACAAAACTTATTATAAGAGAAAAATATTACAAGATTACAACTTGAATTCCAAACCCAAACTTTGTATAACCCTCTCATCTATTTTCTTGTGTGTCTTTGTAGAATGTCAATCTACCTATTTACAGAGAATGTTACTTGTTGAAGAACCAAATAACAATAGGAAATAACTATGAATTCCAAAACTTACATAGATAAAAATAACTTATAATTTTAAACTTATACAAAATAGGAAATAACTTGACAACTACTTCAAGTAACTAAACAATTAAAAAAGTTATTTCCACATAAAATAAAGAACTTGCCTAAAAAAATTAAATCAATTTTCTAACACAAAACATGAGCTTGTGGAACCGTTTGTGACCATAATGGTGATTGGATAATGGGCTTTAACAGATGGATTGTAATTTGTAGTCCAAATGAAAATTTTTCATATTATTGTTTACTCTGATTCTAAAGTTATTCTAGATTTAGTAGCCAACAATTTCTTTGACTCATGTATCCTTTTTCCTACTATGATTGATTGCATATTATTAATCTAGCAAATTCATTTGATCAAGTTTGAACATGCCTTTAGAGAGACAAATAGAGTTGTGATTGTTTGGTAGGATGGGAGCGTTACAATCAAAGATTTTGGGCTGCATCGTTAACCTCTCTCCAACCTCTAGGATTTTTTTGTTCATATGATCTGAAAGGAGTTAGGTTTCCCTTTTGTTTTTTATTGGGCAAATGGCAATTGTTTACAATGACTCATTTACTAGGGAGAAGGAGCTAGACATACCCAACTAGATCATTGGGAATCTAAAAAGGAGTGCGCCACCTCCAAATTAGATAAGTGCACTATTGTATGGAGAATAATTGCTATAAATCTTGCATTGTAATGCACCCCAATCTACACTAAACTTCCCTACCTATATTGAAGGAAGAAGGAACTTAAAGTTCCAACCTACAGTAAACTCCCCAACCTACATTGCATTGTATGAATGTGCCTTCTTCGTAGTCACTAGACCAAAGGCTTGTGGTTGAAGGAGTTAAGTTTCTCAGCAGAATGCAAAAGATATTTTGACTAATTATTAATACCAAAAAAATAACTTGATGAATCATTAAAACTTCAAATTAGTATAAGTGGCAAATGAGATTAGCACTTTAAAAAAAAAAACTCGAAGCACTCTGCTTTGTTTTGTTTTGTTTTGTTTTTTTTTTTGCTTAATGAATTGATACAAAACTTACAAAATATTCTAGGAGATGAATGTACCCCTCTATATACTTATTTAGTAAACTTTGCTTACTTATCTCCTAAATTTACTTAGTTTTTCCTACTCCTAAATTAGTCTTAAATTGTTATATTAATAATGATATAGGAAATTCCTAATAGCAATGATCAATTGTTTAATAGTCCTTGAGTAAAAGACTAGAATTTTTGTGTTGGAGCGGCTTATTGCTTTTGGGTTTGTTCAATATCTTTTAGGCGGATTTTTACAACATTAAATTTGTTGAAGGTTTTTTTTTTATTAAGACTTTGCAGTCGATAATGTGGTCATCTCCATAAAGACAATGCAAAAAGGTCATTAAGCTAGGCTTATTCTCAGTTAATTATTTTAGCAGACTGTAGATTCTGATTTAATACATTTTTGTTTGCTTTTATATTTAGAATATAGATTTTTTAATAATAAAAATTTAAATCCTATAATCACTCAAAAAGTAGTTTTTGTTAATTCTGATTGTTCTTTATAATCACTTTCCATAAAAAAATTTTGTAAAATCTAAAACAAATTTTGATATTTAAACTGTTAAAGAGTTTAGGTTATAGACTTTAATGTTGTTTTGAGTAACAATGAGAAAGGATGAACTGTTTGGAGCATTTTTTTTGAGTGCCAACATCATCATTTGTAGGAATGGCAACGGGACGGGTGGGCGGGCCACTACTTCCCCTGCCCCAGCTCCTTCTTGCTTCCCTTATAAGGGCACCCACGAGATTAATAAAAATTTGTCATATAATTTCATTATAGTCAAATTTCAACAAATAATTAAGTACTAAAATATCACCACATCACTAAGTTATTGTCTATTATAATTTTGCAATTGAAATCCATAAAAATAATTAAATAAAAATTATTTGAATACAATCCAACGTGATTAAACAAATACAACTAAAATAATTAAGTTTTCACTTTTGAAATAAATACAATTATTAAGTCATTATTGTATTTTTTTTGTGAGAGAAAGTGTTATTGTGCTAAGTGTAATTAGGAATTTAGTATAAATATATTAATAAATTTAGTATAACTAATTGATAATTTTTATTAGTAAACATGTATAATTGATAAATTAGAAATCCATCTTGATAGTGGTACATCACACATACATTAAACCTCCGAGCCCCATCCTTGTAATTACATCAAAAGTACCCCAAGCGTTCCCTTCCGGCCTATAGCCTTCATTGGACCCTTCTTCGCATCCCCACTTCCTTCCCCATTCAGGTTCTGATTAGATTTTTTACAGTGCCAAGAATTCTCACAAATTTCACTGAGTCATCCCTAATAGGTCGCCGTCGAGATCTTTCTCCTGGTAACTTGTTTCACTCTGTATTATTTCTGCATTTCATTGGCTATATATCTAGATTTTTCCCAAATTTGAATTAGCTGTGAAGGAGAAATTGGAGAAAAATACAAGGGTTTTTCGAGAGGGACTGAAACACTTAAGTTACGTATAAAGACCTTTAAATTAGGGTTTTATCTTTGTCTAAAAAGGAAGGTTTTGCATTTTGAGGTGTTGTTGGAGGTGAAGAGTTAAGAGAACCAAAACGAAAATAAAGGGAAAAGAAGAAGCCCATGTTTTGGAATTGCAATCCTGGGTTTTGGCCTTAGTATTTGTAGGTGTGACTTTTTGGCTGTCTATTGATTAATTTAGTTTTAAGTACCGCATTAGGGTTTTAGGTGGTGTAAATTTTTTTTATTATTGTTTTGAGGATTTAATTCTTGGAATTTATGGGCTGGCCATTGACTCTATGTTCCTGTTAGTTACTGTAGTTGTGGGTTTCCATTTTTTGGCCTTTTTTCCCCTTGGGGTGGTTGTAAGTGTCTAATCTGTGCGCTGCATTGTTGTCTAAAGCAGCTAGTGGGGAAAAAGCATGAGTGCACGGAAGAAGACTCCGTTTCAGAAACATAGAGAAGAAGAAGAAGCAAAGAAAAAAGTATAGTCTTTACATTGATTACTTTTATTTTACTGTGTATGTTGTATTCCACTTATATAAGAAAGATATGTGCATCTTATAGCGAGCAGAGGATGAAACGGCTCGGTTATATCAAGAGTTTGTGGAATCATTTCAAGCAGATAATACGCCTGGTTCTAAGGCATTTGTTAGAGGAGGCTTGATCAATCCCAATGAGAGGATAAAGCCTGATACTGAAGGTCCGTTGCAAAGACAATTTTGTATTAGTTTCTTAGTACTTTCTTTGTTTATATAAACTTTAGTTCTTTTACTCGCTATGGAATAAATGAATCTTTTCCTTTTATATGGATGTGTTAATAAAAATATGGGCCTTTTTTATTCATTCACGGATGGCAGGTGGAAATTCCAAAGATGAGGTTTCTGGTTTAAAGAAGGGGAGTAGGTAAACAAATGCTTTTGATCACCTATATTGCAATGCTCTTTGATAAGGCATGCCGAATACAAAACTCTTTTGGTGATGATATCATCGGATGCAGATTTTACTGCTTTGAGCTTGTAAAATGTAACTCCTGATTTGCAATTAATAAGTTTACTGCTTTTTTGCATTTGTAGCCCATTAGTTGGAAATAGTGAAACAATGACTTTTATGTAAGGCATGTAAAGAAGTTAAAATTTTGCATTTAGCTTAATCGGGAGGCGAGGGTTTGCTGAACTTAGGTTAACTTTTATATTGTTTTATGATGCAAAATTTGAAATTTTAAATCTTATAACACCTTTCTTGGCCTGTTAAAATTCCAGAGTTAGTTGTTTCAGTTCTAAATAGTTCCTTCTACTTCTACCTTTGGTCAATTGAACTTGTTTAGGGTATTTGTTCTCGTCCAATGTCTCTAGTGCTGTTCAAGAGATTCTTTTGCTTGCTGATGAGTTTTTGATTGAACTAATACAGTTATTCTGGTTTGCCTGTCCTTTTGTTTGGCTAAGTAGTCTAAGTGTAGCAACCCTTCTCCAAATTGGATGCCTTCTTGCTGCAAGTAAAATTCTTACAATGTCATAGTATTCTGTCTACCCTGCCCAGGCAATGTCAACCTAGTCGAAGATGATGTCTTACTGTCTGTTATTGTATGCTAATTTATCTGTGTCAGAAATTTACCTGAAATTACCTCCTTCTTTACATGCTAAGAAGGGTATGGTCCATGTGCAGATTCTCCAAATTTTCCTTTATATATATCTTAGCTGATATCTTGTATTGTACGTCCCCTTTATTCCCATTTAACTGTAGTATATCTTGAAGTTTTTTGCACATAAACTAAGAATTGCTACTTTATATATATATTTATATATATTAAAGAGAGAGAGAGAGAGAGAGAGAGAGAGTATATATATATATATAGAGAGAGAGAGATGTAGTTGATCCGTTCTCTATGAAATTGGAATCCACTAGCAGAACAACATACCTATCTTCTTTATATTCGGCTATTTTATCCTTTAAAAGCCTGTAGATCAGCCAAATGTCAACATTAATACTGAGAGAATATGTTAAAAGGAGATATCGGACAGCCTAAGTAGAGTTGTTGTGCTTATTCCGCCATAATAATGATCATGTTAGAGAGGATCAAACTATATGACACGTTAGTATCTACCTCAAATACAGTGAATAAGTTATCAAACAAGAGTATGTTTAATTGTAGTTTTTTGGTATCTTAGAGGAATTTTGGTTATTTTGTTAGCAGTTTTTTATTTTTTCCCAAGCAAAATTTACTGTTCATTTTGCGGTCTGAGTTGTTAAGCTCTTTATTTGGTTCTATGGCTTCCTTTCTTACTAATGGATGCATTTCATTAAATTGAAGTGGGGTTTCTCAGTCTTTTTGGCCAGAGCCTTATAATAAGTTTTTAGCAAAGTGGAAGTTGCATATCATTACTTGAGCTTTTGCTTTACTGATTGTTAGATTACATCAATTCAGCTTCCACTGCTGAGACTCCTAAAAGGCCTTATAGACATTCCAATTTTTCTAACCTCTTGAAATCTATTTTTTTTTTATGTTCTTACTTCTTTCCATGTTTCCAAGATTCTTTGCTCATGCTTTGATGAATGTTCAAATCCAATGGTAAAGTTTCATAACAGGGTTGCTTTAGAAAACCATGTTAAGATACTTATATGCTTACCTGCATTTTGAAGACACCCTCTTCACTCTTATGATAATACCTCTTCGATGACTCGCCTTATCTATCTTCTCTTTACTTTGCACAAGGTGATGTTATGGAGACACCCTGGTAGAATGGCACCTTTATATGAGATCGTCTTCCTGCGTTTAACATCTTTATTTAAGCTTGAAGAGCTACACGCTAAAGATTTCACTGGGTTAACCAAAAAATTAAAAAAAAAACTCTGGTGGAACATGTTACTTGCACGTATTTACTTTTTGTAGTTGACTAGGTTTATGTGTTCATTGTGCTGAAATATTTATAGCCATGGGAATGTGTTTTGCTTTATTGAATTATAACATGCTGAAAGATGAGTTGTAAGATCTGATTTTTGGCTTCATTCACATCTTTTCAATGATTATTTGAGAACAAGGTTATTTGTAGCATAGTATTGGACTCTGCTTCATCTTTCTGCAGGTATGTCCCATCTTTCATACCACCTCCTTTGGTTACCAAGGGTAAAGAATTTGACAAGAAGGTCAGTGCTTAAGGAGGATGCTTTTCCTTGGGAAGCAGTGCCTGTTTGCTTTTATATGACTTTTGTTGTTTGCTTTTAATGTTGCAGAAGGAGGAGAAGCCAAAGGAAAAAGAAAAGGGGAAGTCAAGGAACATTGACCATTTTATGGAGGAGCTGAAGCATGAGCAGGAAATGAGGGAAAGGCGAAACCAAGAGCGTGAACACTGGCGTGATGCTCGCCATGGTGATAATTCTGCAGTAAGGAGCTTTACAGATACTGTTCATGAAGTGGAAATTTTAGGTCTTATAGTCAAACTTTCATGTCTTTTTATGAAGTGAGAAATGGAGTTCCTCTTGGCAAAGTTTTATGAATTAGTTTGATGAACCATTTGATGTATTATTTTGGATTTTGTTTTCTGTAGCACTCTTATCTTCATTGAATTCCTTTACTGTTTAATGTTACCTTATTTGTGGAAGCGAGGAGAATGCACATGTCAAAGCTAGTGAATTGCTAACTGTGGCCTTATTTGACTGTACTTTTTTATTGGATAGATTTTTTTCTTGGATTTTGTCCAAACACAGGAAGATTATCATACTTTACTTTGTAACTAATCTGAAGGGAAGATCATACATGAATTGGGATTCTTGCTATAACTATTTTTCCCCCTCTATCTATTTGAATGACTTTTACCCTGACTTTACTCAAAACTTGTGTTTTCATTAATCAAGGCTTAGGAAGTGTTGATAATTACTTGAAATCTCTAGGTTGTTTGCATTATTTTATTCAGTCAACTTTATCTGAGTGAAAGTGGCAAATGTGCCACTTTTTTTTTTGATTAATTTATTTAGACATGTACTAGTACATTCTACTTCGGTCTGAGGAGTTAGAGGTGTACAAACTGTTAATATATTCTCTGCAATCACCATATGAGATGAACTTCAAATTTAAATATCTATTATTAAGAAGGGATAGGACTGGACCAAACTATAGCTGTTGAAAAGGTGAACTAAAAACCTCAATTACCACTTAAAGAACCAGGACATGTCCTGAGGCAATGAGCAGCATATAATTGATTAATTATTTGGGAAGAGAGGCTGAAAGTACTGTGGATAAAGAAAGGATGTGAAAACTGCCTTTGTTGATGTTTTCCTATGTAATTCGACATCCAATGGATGATTTGCATCAGAAGTCTTATCTCATCTAACAGGTGTCATCATCCACGCAATTTTGTAAAACAGTTTGAGTTAGGAGTTTCATAGAACGGTTGAATATGGATAATATGGAATGTTTTGCTGCCAGTGTTGAAGAGGGAGCAACAGTGGAATGCCATCTGACTTCATAGATGATGGAGATGAACTGTTATATGTTAATGTTTTAGAACTCTTAATAGTTGGGCTTGAGGAAATAATGTCAACTTGTTAAGACAGTTGAAAACAAAATGTAAGGCTTGCTTTTTTGAAAATTTATGGAAGCCTCCGTGTCTTAGAGGTGGTTATCATGATATGTGCTATGCAAAAATCATTTTTGTCTGTGAGTTGGTGCGTGGTACTTGATTTGATTAGCTTTTCTGCTTGTGAGATTGTTTGGGATTTAATTGTGCATGTATAGAATGTCTTGCTTGGAATAGAAATCAACAAGTCATAGCCCAAATATTTTTTTGACAGCCATCTAGCCGGTTTGATGAGCTGCCAGATGACTTTGATCCAAGTGGAAGGCCTGGATCTTTTGATGATGGAGACCCACAGACCAAAATCTTTATGTTGGAAATTTGTCACCTCAGGTAATTTTTGTTATCAAGTTGGCTTTTTCGATTTCTATAATTTTAGTATGGTGGTTTGTGGTCCTACTGTTTAGGAAAATATGATCCTTAATGATGTTAGGTTGATGAGAATTTCCTTTTGCGGACTTTTGGAAGATTTGGACCTATTGCCAGTGTGAAAATAATGTGGCCTAGGACAGAGGAGGAGCGTAGACGCCAAAGGAACTGTGGTTTTGTAGCTTTCATGAATAGGCCTGATGCACAAGCTGCAAAGGATGAAATGCAAGGTTTGCTTGGTTTATTTATAAAGTTTTTCGAATTTTACTTTATTGATCTCATTCTTGTTAAAGAAGCTGGCTCTGCAGAAGAGCATTTTTTCACTTTCGTATTTGAAACTTGTACGCAATTTCAGACCTCCTTTTAAGAGGTTAATTGACAAGGATTATTTCCATTCTGTTTAAAACTGTAAACCCTGACACGGTAGAATATCTGGACATAAATGAAAGGGATGGTTGGTTAAGGTGTTGTCCATTGTATAACCATTTGGTTGTGGTGTTTGATTGCCTAAAAGGCAACTTGCCTTCGGAGTCCAAATACCCGAAACTGGATGTAAAAAGATATGTGTTGTTTTGCTAATAGTTTTGCCAATTGTTTATGCGTGCATATTTGTATACTGTTCATGTAATCTCTTTTATGCACATGGTCATCATATTTAAGTAATATAGACTAGTAAGTAAGTGAATATTGAGGAATAACTGCGAGTGTTTCATGGTTCTTGAATGTGAACGTCCATTAATTTTGTACATCTTGTTGAATTCAACTTTTGTTAATTGACTTATGAGATATATTTATACAGCCAGCTGCGTTTTGGGTGCCTTGCAGAAACTTTTAATAATCAGGTGTGGTTTAGAGAAGAAAACAGAAATTTAGTTACCTTAAGCTAGCTTGTATACGGAGCTGCCATGATTGTGAAATTTCATTCTAGGTTTCTACTAGACTGGGAAGAGGTACAATCAGGTGGAATGCCACCACTCTGCCTGGGATAACTGACACATTCCACGATCTTCCTAAAATGTGAATTTTCTTTTAGGATCCACAATTCTGCGCTGCTCTGTTACTGATTGATTTGATAGACCTCAAGTTTGAAGTTAATAGTTCTCATGTTGCAACAATTGGAGTATAAAACCAACAACCCACTCAAAGTGGAATAAATTCTAATTTACCCTAAATGTACCTTGAGTTTTTACTTTGATGCACAATATACTGTACTCAGTTCTTGCATGAGCTGCCTAGTATGCTGTTTATTCATAACTTTTTCAGAGGAAGAGAGAGAGACTGAATCATCTCTTCATGGCACAGTGTAGTAGTTTATATGAATACGAGTTAAAGATTGGCTGGGGTAAATCTGTGGCTCTTCCATCACAAGCACTTCCTGCTCCCCCTCCAGGTCAAATGGCTATCAGGAGTAAGGAGGTTTGGCTTTGTTTCCCATCCCTCCCCAGTTTATGCACAACATAGTATTTCCTTTTCTTGCTGGGCTGCAAAACAGTTGCTGAGATGGCATTTTCTATGTTTTACAGGGTGCCACTGTTATCTTGTCTGGCCCTTCAGGTCCTCCAGTTACTACAGTGCCTAGTCAAAATTCTGAGTTGGTAGGTTAACATAATACTCTGTTGTTTGTCCCTTTTTTGTAAGTATTTACTGATTTTCTTCCCCTCATTTGGAAAGCAAGGAAATCAAGTTTTTATTAGTCTAGAAAAGGTGATTTTATGGTAAAAGAGAAAGTATAGGTCTTATGGCTGAGAAAATTTTCTCGTCAAACGAATGTTAAAAATTGCAACTGGTTCTTTGGAGTCTCTTGTAAACTGTGTTGTGGAATTCAATTTGTTCAGCGTAAAAGCAGTTTTTTCTGGCATAATTCATTCTTGATACTTGATGCAGCTGTTGACAGTTAGAAGTCTACTGTTATTTAATCCATTTTAAGGTACTTATAAAGGTGTTGCCAAACTTTTGTTAATGGGACGCAAGCTTGAATTTTTTTTAATCTGTACATCTATGATTTTCATGAATATTTATAATCCACCATCATAGCTTGGTTTTTTGGTTTGTTGAAATCATCTTTACTATGTTTAATCTTTGTGAACCTTCATCCATCTAGTTAGTTTCTATACTTTTATTTGTTTGATTGTGCCTCAATATGTCAGTTACTAATGTTGTCCATCCTAGCAGGAACACTTCTTAACTTTTTATTGGTTTTTTGGTTTGTTCAACTCTTTATTGATCCTTGATTGTCTAGTCTTCATGAACCTTCATCCATCTTCTTAGTCTCTTTAATTTTATATTTTTAAGCATTTCAGTTAATAATGTTGCTCATTTTAGCTGGGATATTTTTAAATGTTTGTCTCTCCTATTGGTTGAATTAGTGTAACTTAACATTTCCATGATGTTAAAGCTATAGTTGCCATTGGTTTTGAGCTGCTCATATTGTTCTGATGAGTGCAGAAATTTGAGTTTATTTTCATATTTCTATCATGCAGCCTAAGTGCTAGTATGAGGTTGCCCTGATTAACCCTTTATTATTATCGGGATAAACATGTAATGGTTTCTACTTCCTCGAGGAAAACAGCTACTCGACTTTGCTTTGTGTAAGCATGATGTCTTTAAACTTCTTAGATAAGTTAAAGAGTATTAGTCTAGCATAATACGTAACCTAATATATGTATGCGTTGGTGGATAAATTTGATACTGATTTTATTTAAGAACTGATGAAATGTTTAGCATATTGATCTGTTAAATTACTTCAGGAGGCAAATGTGTCATCTCCTATTTGTATGTATCACTGATGATTTGACTTACTCTACAGGTTCTTACACCAAATGTGCCTGACATTAATGTTATCCCACCGGAGGATGATCACCTTCGCCATGTTATAGATACCATGGCTCTCTATGTTCTTGATGGTGGTTGTGCTTTTGAACAAGCAATAATGGAGCGTGGTCGTGGAAATCCCCTATTTGGGTTCTTGTTTGAACTTGGGTCTCAGGAGCATACTTATTATGTCTGGAGGCTGTATTCTTTCGCCCAGGTGAATCGTTTTAATTGTTTACATAGATGTTGGTTTCAATTCCATCTTCATGAGTTTCTTGTTGCTGGTATTTTTAGCTTGTGTTGTTTTTGTTATAGCTTTTCGTAAGCTGCTCACAACATATAACTAGGATATAGTTGAAAATCAAAGGTATATTTAATGCTCTGAATACCTTGATTATGGTACATGGGATGCAATGATTATAGAGCTTAATGAGATTTCTCAGTTGCTGTACAAACTTAGTAATGATAAATGAATTTGTATGTCATGATTATGCATGATTATGCATGTTAACATATGGTATTCTTTTGAAGTTGTAAATCTGACCTGCTTACGTGATATTCATATGATCTAGGCATGCTTTTGATACAAAAAATAGTAGCTAATCATGAATTCTAATTTAGATTAGCAAAGTAGTCATGCTACTCATATGCGATTGTGTCAGTGATGGATTACGCTTTAAACTTTTAGCACAAGTCATTTTGGTTTAATAACATGTATCATTGTGTTAGACATGTTAAAAGTGTGGTGGTCCATATGACCCATATCCATTGACTACATGCATCTAGTTGGCACGATGAGTGATCCAATAATTTAAACCGTTCAACAGCCCTTCTAATATATGGTTTGACGTGTGCAAATTTTGATCTACTTATTACAGATAAGTAATGCATCATATTTTTCTTCGATAATCAATCAAATGAGCAAGGTAAACTAGTGGACATCAACCAATCATGGAAATTGGGCTCCATTGCTTTGACATAGTCATAAATGTAAAAGGGGAAACATATTGAGACATTTTTTTTTTCAAAAATAATAATCTGTCAATTATGAGCTAAACTTTTAGACGTCAACTGATCAATTAAACTGGTTCTTGGCTTACCGTCTTTGACGTGTCATAGTCAAAAGGGGAGACAATGGCAACTATTTAGTTGTTGTTTTTTATCTATAAAAATCGATTAACACTGTAAAGATTGTAAATAATATAGCTAAACACAATAAATACTTAATTTTTCTAACACATGCCATAGAACATGGTGGAACAAGTTTGACCTTTTCTGGCAGACTCATATGTAAATGCGCTTGTTGAGTAATAGGAAATCATCTTTCTGTACAATGTCTCATGCACCTAGGTCTCTTGTGTAAACTTCCTTTTACTTAATTTTTGGGAAGATTGATCCATCTAGTTATGGCCTGAAAGACTATGCTGCAACCTTGAGAACTTAATTTTGTCTTTTTAGCTGTCTATCCCATTCCATATTTGCTGGCAGAACATAGCAAGAGTCTGGGATGTTTTCAGGACAGGGAAGACATGATATTTGCCATCCTGGCTGTTGAAATTTAAATTTTCTCTCGTGTTACCATGATGGATCCCAAGGAATTACTGAAGATTCTTGCTTGCTTGTTTTCAATTAGGGGGATACTTTGCAACGATGGCGAACAGAACCCTTCATTATGATTACTGGTAGTGGCAGGTGTGTGCCTTTCTTCATCTGCTTTTGGTACACTTCTCCAAATTGCTCTATGGGTTGAAGGCTTTGTCTTGTTTTCTATGATATTGAACTACTTCTATTGAAGAAAAAATGAATTTTCAGCTTGTGTTGCATTTAATCTTCGAGAGGTTTGCTGCTTAAGCTCTTAAACTAGGGTCTGTTTAGATAGGTGTTCTTTAGGGTGTTCTTGAAAACTTTGCTGTAGAAAAAGTTTATCAAAAGCTTTTTGGATGAGTGCTTTTTGAGGTGTTGACCCTTTTGACCCTCTCCTTCTTCCCCTCCTCTCCTCCCAATCCACCACCCTGCCCCATCTTTTGACCACCACCACTGCAGCCTCCCTCCCCTCCTCCCTTCAGCCACTCTCCTACCCCTAGCCCCTCCCTTCCAGATCATTAGGGGGAGGGAGGCTCCAGCTGGGGAGGGTTGGTTGGAGGGGTAGGGGTATGGGGAAGTGGGAGGTGGCAGTGGATGGAGAAGGGTGATAATATGGTAGAATCCCACTGTCTTTTTTTTGGGTGTTTTTGGGTTGTTTTTTGGTGTGTTCTTGGTTGCTTTTTATGGTGTTATCGCAATTTTGTGTCTAAAATCTTGTCTTTTAAGAAACAATGGATTCAAACAGACCGGAGATTGTAACTTTTTCTATTATATATTAAAAAGTCTTGCTTATGGTGTTGGGTTTTCTGAAATCTATGGAACCTTAGCACACCAGTTCATTTTCTTGCAGGTGGATACCACCTTCTCTTCCTACTGTAAAAGGCCCAGAACATGAAAAGGATGGCGGAAGTACATATGCTGCTGGGAAAAGCAGGGTGCGTTTTTAATGTGGGATTTTAATTGAAAAATCATTCTAGCATAATTATAAATAAATCTTTCTTAAATTGTTTACTACTGACTTTTACAGCGTGTAGAGGTGGAAAGAACACTAACTGATGCACAGAGAGATGAGTTTGAGGATATGCTGCGTGCATTGACTTTGGAAAGGAGTCAAATAAAGGAAGCAATGGGTTTCGCTCTAGATAATGCTGATGCTGCTGGAGAGGTATTCCAGTGATCCCATTGAACATATATTAATCAACGCAAAACTTGAACCTTGTGATGAAGCTTTTTTTTTTTGTTTTTGAGTGTGACTTTCAAATTGAGTTCCACTCTTCCAGATGATGGTTCTGCAATACTTGAACTTAAACTTCTATTAAGCTCAAGCATGCATTTCTGAGAATGAGAAGTGAAATATTTTCGTCTTGGAAAGCGAGAACATATAGAATTTTTAAGCTTTTTATTTCCCTTGGCCTTGGAGGACGTATGGTGGACTTTTATCAAATTTATTTGTGTGGAACTCGTCTGCAGGTTGTTGAAGTTTTAACTGAGTCACTGACTCTTAAAGAAACACCCATACCAACAAAAGTTGCAAGGCTTATGCTTGTCTCAGATATCCTTCACAATAGTAGTGCCCCGGTGAAAAACGCCTCTGCTTATCGCACCAAATTTGAGGCAACTTTGCCTGACATAATGGAAAGCTTCAATGACTTGTATCGTTCTGTAACGGGGAGAATCACGGCTGAGGCACTTAAGGTAAGACTTATGTGTTAAAAGATAGTGGCTGCTATGTATGACAGAATATTACTGGCTACTTGTTTTGTTCACACTTTTCATTGACATTCTGCAGGAGCGAGTACTGAAAGTTCTTCAAGTATGGGCTGATTGGTTTCTGTTTTCTGATGCATATGTGAATGGATTAAGAGCTACTTTCCTTCGATCAGGAAATTCTGGTGTGACTCCATTTCATTCTATATGTGGTGATGCCCCTGAGCTAGAACAGAATACTGGCTCAGATGACCGTGGGGAAGGTGAAAAGATTAACCAAGATGCGGCTTTGGCAATTGGGAAAGGAGCTGCAATGAAGGAGCTCTTGAACCTTCCACTTAGTGAGCTTGAACGACGATGTAGGCACAATGGGTTATCTCTTGTAGGTGGCAGAGAAATGATGGTTGCACGGTTACTTTATCTGGAAGAGGCAGAAAGACAACGAGTCTATGAAGTTGATGATGAGTTGAAGTATCAACAAAGTCAGTCAAGTTCAGCTAGATATCCTAGTGGCAAGAAAGAGAAATCTGTTGATACAGATCAATGGGATTCTCGGATGGAATAGTCATGAGGATGAGATGCAGTTGAAAGAAAAGAGCAGTGCCTTTGCTCCCAACAAATCCTGTTGGACATGAACTAGTTCCTATACTAATGAAGGGAAAAATGATTCCATTTTGCCTGCCTCGAAGTGGGCCAGAGAGGATGATGAGAGTGATGATGAGCAAAACGGAAGTGCTAGGGATCTGGGATTGACCTATTCTTCCTCGGGAAGCGAAAATGCTGCTGATGGACTTGATAAGAATGAGGAGCCCGATTTTACAACTGATGTGAGCAATTCATCACATTCTGAAAGTGGCTTGAATGAAGAGCAGAGGTCACTCCTTTAAGCTACTATCATATAGTTTCTGAAATACCTTTTAATTAGATGTTCTTTTGGATGCCCCAAAGACAGTATGGTTCACATTTTAATTCCTCTAGGGTTGCAGATGATATATGCTGATGTGGTACTTTACTATTTTATAATTTGTAGACAAAAGCTGAGGCGGGTGGAAGTTGAACTCATAAAATATCGTGAATATTTGGAAGAGCAAGGCACAAAAAGTTCAGAAGAAATTGAGAGAGAAGTTGAAAGCCGTCGAAGACGATTACTATCTGATTGTGGATTGTTGGATATGAATGAAGATGCTTCTGGAAGAAGTAAGTAGCTTTTTGACAACTTTGTTCCTGCTGAGTATTTAGAAGAATTAGTGCTTTTTCAGTTCAGCCTGTCTGATGACAATATCCATTCACCACTTCATGTGTTATGCACAACTGTGTATTTACAATTGCTAGTAAAAAATCCCTATGGCTTAATCTTGTAGGGAGTTTTAAGCATTGAATGATTTCTTTGATTGAAGCTTTATTTGATCTTTTATCTAATTTCTAATTCTGGTGTGCAGCTCTATGAACAGGAGAAATTACAATTTGTCCTGTAAACAGATGAAATTGTCTGCATACCAAATGACACATGCATTCTTATAGTTAGGTTACAAGTGAATCCTATGGTATGGTCTTGTAGAATCAATTGAATGTGCACATATGAACTATGCTAAAGGATGATTGATTGCATTCTGATAGATTAAAGAGTTGCTCAGATTTGAATGCAGCATGAGGCTCAAGATTAGATCAACTTCAATGAGTATATTATTTTGAACGTATGCCAAATATATTACATGTGAACATGCTTTAAGAAACTCTTTCTTGTCTCTCTTTTTAACTTATCAATGAGCTGTTATGAACACAGCCCACCAGGAGGGAAAAAGAAATGCAAAAAATTTCGAGAAAGTATACATCTGCTGGCACTCTCAAATTGTGGAAGTTAGTTGTCATGATGGTTTGTAGATGTGGAGGTTTAAGATGAAAAATAAATAGGGTAAACATTTTAAGTGTCCCTTTGGTTGGTGTGTTTTATAGGGTTTTATCTAAAACATTATTGTAGCTTAGTGTTATTGTCTTCGGAAAAATCTTGGTACATGTTCAAGACACTAGTTTCCCAAAACACCCCTCTTCCCCCCTCCCCCACCACCACCATTACTGCCACCCACCACCAGCAGCCACCCCCACCTTCTCTCTCCTCTCCTCCCATTTCTCCCTCTAACCACACCCACACCGGTACCCCTCTGTCCTTCCCCCTTGACCCACCCCTACTCCCTCCCCCTCATTTTCCCCCTTTTTCCACCTTCTTTGCTGGGGCACCAGCCTACCCTCCCCTGTCCAATCTGGACCAGATGTGGTTGCCAGGAGGGAGGGAAGGGGTTGGGGTGAAATGGGGGGAGGCGGGAGGTGGTAGGGGGGGAGAGGAGGGAGGGGAGGAGGAGGGGCAGGAGGAGGATCAGGAAGTGGGGAGAGGAGTTGGTCTGGGGAGGGAGGAGAGAAGGGGGAAGAAGAGGTAGGGAGGGTGGCAGGGGGTAGGTGGCAAGGGGTGGAGGAGGAAGAAAGAGATCGTGATTTTTTATTTTATATTATATTATATATTTTTTTTAGTGTATTTGGGTTGTGTTACTGTAGAGTTGTATTTCAAATACAAGATTTGGGAAAAACTTGAATCCAAACAGACCCGGATCTTTGGCTTTTTATTTTGCTGGGCCTTTCCAATAATTTCAAGGATTTACCGGTGTAATCAGAACAATGTTTGACTTTTAAAGGGAGCTTTTGATGCTGGAGGAGATAGGGGTGTTCTTGCCAACCGGTGCTAGCAGAACAAAGAAGGGAAAGGCCCCGCCGCGCCCCGCGGGGGGGGGGGTTACAATCTATCTCTCAACTTTTATTGTTTAATATGTGCTAGTGCTAAGAATATCCTGATATTCTAATTATTAGAATTTCTATCTCCAGTCAGCTTCCTTATATAATCATATATAACTAAACAAGATTCAATGACACATTTGGTGGGAATTCCTGCTGACCAGTAAAAGACCAATGTACCCTTGAGACCTAAAATTCTATCAAGTCTTAAGCTCGGAGAGTTTAATTCTGTATCACTTGAACCATCTTTAGTCCCTGGAACTGCCATGGACAGAGTCCTTTAGACCAGAACTTGCTTGGAAGTGATCCCTTAGTTTATTCTCAAACTTCCGGCATGCAGCTGCATCATCAGCTTCTGCTCTCTTTTTTATCTTAATTTTTTCATTCAGTGGCAAATGCCAGTTCATTTATGAGGAAACAAGAAGGAAAGAGGGAACTCTATAACTTGTCAAGATAGGTAGCAAAGATAATACAGCACAATTAGGGTCCTTGTATTTTCCCAAGCTCTAGAATTCCAGTATGATTACAACTCAATTCATTGTTTGTGCTATTGCTCCAGATTATCTAAAATAATCCTTAACAATATTGAAGCAAAATGCTTCAATGACACACCCGAGTTGGTGCTTCCATTTTATATATAAAATAATCTTTAACAACGTTGATACAAAATGCTCTAATGACACCTGAGTTAGTACTTTCATTTTATATATAACAATCACTCTGTATGATCTTTTATTATGTAAGAATTTTGAAAAATATGATTCCTAACACATTGATTGTGTTGTATTATATATGCCTAGATAATGTTTTGACAGAAGGTAAAATCTTGTTTGGTGTGGCTGATTACAAGATGATTGTCTTCTTTATGTATGCATTTTTGGATTCCTAAAAACTGGATTTCTAGACAGAGAATACTGATCGTGGATTAATTGTACTTTCCTAGCTCTCTGCCCTTTGTCCTCTGATTGGACCTTGCTGCTTTTTCTAATATCTTCTCTCTCCACATAAATGCATGAACATGTAGGGAGGTCATCTTTGGAGAGAAAAGACAAGAGAGATAATTTGCATGAACCTGTAAGGAAGCGTCGCCGCAGCCGAAGTCGAAGTAATAGTCCTCCACGAAAATCATCTATGAAAGACAGGGATAGGGACAGTGAAATTAACAGAGAAAGAGAGAGACGTCGAGAAAGGGAAAGACATGGTTTAGAAAGTGAAAGGGGAAGGGATCGTGAAAGGGACGCGAAAAAAGTGGAAGCAGGGAGAGGGATGATCATGACAGAGAAAAAAGCAGGGAAAGAGACAGAGAAAGGAGAAGGGTGAAATGAGTTGGTAGGTGTGATACTGGAAATGATTGTTGGTTGCAATGAAGAGGGGCTTGGTTTGCCTTGGGTTGAAATAGGTTCCTAACATTTGTTTGAACTTGCAGTGCTGCATAATGGTTCTGATCCCAAGATTGAGCTCTCCGATTTCCAGGCACAAACGGGCTTTTTTTTTTTTTCAGAAGATCTGCCTGAATCATTATGTTAGTCATTTTGGAAACTTTTATAGCCTCAGATTTTCTGTGAAAGATGTTATATCAGTTGCGAGCCCTTTTATATATTAATTATATAAAATACGCCTTAGAATTTTTACCTCAGTAATTCTGTTTCTATATTGTTTCAGGCATTAGCCTCATCTGTCTTTCTGTCAAAAGTTTATGGCACTATCAATCACATTGAACGGGAGAGTGAAGTTCGTCAGGCATGATTTATAGTTCAATCGAGCTCATGATTGCTTGAATCTGTTTGATCACTTCAAGGGAACAGGAGTTTGATTGAATTAGCGTGGAAGTAGGTTCGAAATTTTTACAAATGCTATGCAAAATGAATATTCCTTCCACCAGGTGTCAGTTATCTCAAGTAAGCTAAACATGGGTCAAGCATTAATCTAATCTGTATGGCGCAGAACTGAACCTGCACAAGCAACTTGAACTGCTCGAAGTACTTGTTATAGATATCTGAGGCTCTATTCCGGTGTCCTGTTTTCGGCCTTATTTAAAGAAACAAAAAAATTTGTGCAAAATACCATCTACAGTGATAATCTAAAAACCACTTAAGTTATTGAAAAACACCAAAATGAAAGTGCATTACATAGGATATCGGTGAAAAATAGAGGATGTTTGAGTATTTTTGGACAAATGTCAGCATTTTTTTTAAACAACTATTATGAGTTATGGTAAGGTTTTAAAACAAACCATCTAAAAATCATACCATCCAAACGGAGCGTGAAGTGTGAACATCTCGTTATAGACTAATTATTAACACTACAGTGCTGGGGTAAAATTTGACGCTGTGAAGTGGCCGACTAAAATTAGTGCGAGTATATGTTTTCAAATTTTTAAAGAGTATATTATGACACTTTCCGGATTATAGGATAACGCTGAAATTTGGATGCATAAAAAGAATGAAAATGAAATTATTACATGATATACTGTTACTTCATTCGGACATGCATATGGTCTAAGTTTTTTTTTTTTTCAGTACAACATTATTACAATTGATTCTATACTCGGGGAAAGGGGTTAGAGATAGACCTATCTAATCTATTGAGAAGTTCAAAGGAGCTAAATAACACTCGTCCGTACTCCAAGAGATTCTGGAGAGAAAACGCAATCAGGAGGGTTCAATCCCCTAACCTATGCCTAGGGAAAGACTTGGTCCATCCTCTGGTGGCCAACTGAGCTAATTAAGTTGGTTATGGTCTAAATTAACCCTTGAAATGTATGTGTCTTTTGTTTGACTTTTGTATGTAGTTAGGTATTGCTTTTACTTGTAGAAGAGTGTGTGGATTTTGTCGTAATTGCTGGTACTTCACCCAAGTTTGAGCTTTCTAACTCATCAAATTTGCAACTTTGGAAAAAATAAAAAATAAAATATTATTGCAATGCGCAAGGCAAAAAGGATCACAATACTGTCAGAAAGATGATTATCATACCATGGTTGTAAAGATAGACCTTGAGGTTGAACCTACATGTAGTCAACCAAATGCCACGATCTGTAGATATTACCAATCAAATGTATGCCTTACTTTGTTTACATTGATTGGTTTGTCAAA